ATATAAATAATATTAAAAAACTAAAATTTTAGAAAGTTTCACCATACAAGCCCTAAACATCTTTCAACAACTTTCGAAGGACAAGCGGACAACAACTTTTAATTAATAGTTTCTTGTAGAAACTACATGCCCAAAATAATCTAAAATAAAAGTTTTTCAAACCTTAAGAAGTGAGTACGGTATGGTTGTTGCAATGGTGGTCGATGCTTTAAATGATAATATATTCAGAAAATACGAGGTGAATTGGAAACAAAAGTTTGACTATAATTTGAGTTTATTCAAGTTTCAAACTAGATTTTAGTCTAATGAAGTTACTTGAACTAGATTTGAGCCTAGACAAGTTTCAAGCTGAGGTTGAGCATATATTGAATAGTTAATTGAGTCAAGTTCAAACTTATAAATGCTCAACTCAGATAATCTTTTAGATTATCATAAATTAAGATGAGATTTTTAACATATACCCTTAATAAATATTTTTTTTTGTTATAAATTAATATTTAAAAAGTAAGGGTTGATTTTTAATTTAGTAATTATTTAATTAAATTTATCAATTTAATACCAATATTAAAATTAATATTAATTTTTATATTTTTTATATACATTTATTATAAAAATGTACCATTTCTAAATATATAAATTTAAAAAATCCTTTTAAGATATGTCAATAAAAACCTTTAAGTACTTAAAAATAAAAATTGATTAAATTACTACTTACTATTTTAAAAATCTTGATTTAACGAGAATAATGAAAATTCAAACCTTGCAGGTTGCAACGATAACTAATTAATATGTCCCAAAAGAAAAAGGTTAAGCACTTCGAAAAGTTCAAGCCAATTTGAACCAAATTCAATTTATTCCAGCCCAGAATTCAATTCGGGTCCCTCAAAGCCTACTATTGAGCCCAACATTAAATTTGGCCGCTCAACTATATCTTAAACTTTACCTGTCGTAACGGTAAGTGATAGCAGGGTCATAAACAAATCAACAGTGATTTTGATTATTGCCTTTGGCCCATTAAAAAAAAAAAAAAAACTGTTAAGACGATAAAGTGGCCTTTTTTTTTTTGTCCATTTTCGGTGGCATTTTAGACATACATGGACAAAAAGAAATTAGTAAAAGTAATTAATTAATTAATTAAATCATAAATGTGGTTTTCTTCCTCATCTCTTTATCTTGGTTATGGAGAAACTGGCCCAAATGATTCAAAGCCGAGTTGATTCTCAGACATGAAAGCCTTTTAAGCTATTCCGTGGAGGTGCGTCTATCTCACACTTATTTTTTGCTGATGATTGAATGCTTTTTGAACAAGCATCTAGTGAGCAGATGGACATTATTATGGATTGTTTGAATCAGTTTGCTAAAAGTTCAGACTTGACATTAAACTTGCAAAAATCCAAATATTTGTTTCACCCAATGTGCACGCTGTTGTAGCAAACTCATTGAGTAATTAGAGTGGAATTCCGTTGACATCTACATTGAGTACATACTTGGGAATTCCAATTACCCATGGGCGTCATTCTCACAATAACTACAGATACATTTTGGAGAAGATGCGAAGGAAATTGTCTAATTGGAAGGGTGCTAACTTGAGTCTAGCAGGACGCAAGGTGTTAGTCCAATCAGTGACAGGCTTCAATCCCAGCTTATTCTATGCAAGCTATTTTACTGCCAAAGACCACTTGCGAAGCTATTGATCGGTTAAATAGGAATTTTCTACAGGGCTCAAAATTGGGTGCTCGAAAACCACACCGAGTTAGCTGGGACGTTATTTGTTCTGAGAAGAAGTCTAGTGGTTTAGGACTTAGGACTGTATGGGATTATAATCAAGCCTTTGTGGCAAAACTTGGCTGGCGGTTGATTAGGGGGGATGGTCCGTTATGGTGTAAAGTTATGAAGTCCAAATATCTTCGGTGCCTCAACCTCTTAGAAGCTCAAGCTAAACAAGGGTCCTCCTTTATATGGCGTGGGATTTTACAATGTTGCTCAATTTTAAAACAAGGAATTCGTTGGAGGATTGGTTCTGGTGAGGGGGTAAGGTTGTGGTATGACAATTGGACTAGGAGTGCCTCTCTTATTATGCACAGGGAGGAGGCACCTACACTCCCTTCTTTAATGGTTGCTGATGTCATTACTTTTGAAGGTGAATGGGACCTAGATTTTTATCTAACTTGCTTCCTACTGAAACAGTTAATGTTATTAGAGCCATCCCTTTAACTCGGAATGCTCAGCTACAAGACAGCATGTTCTGGACTGGCTCAATGGATGGCTCCTTCACAGTTAAATCAGCATATCAACTCATTCAAGCCCAGCGAAATCTGGTTAATCCTTTGATTGACTCTTGGAGCTGGATTTGGAAGTCACAGTGTGCTGAGAGAATCAGGATTTTCATCTGGCTCATAGTACATGGTAGATTATTAACAAATTCCGTACGATTTGCACGTCACATGTCTTCTTCTCCTACCTGCCCCAGGTGTAATTTCTCAAATGAAACTCCTATTCATTTGTTACGAGACTGTTATTATGCAAAAATTGTTTGGGGGATGCCGGGTTTTGCAGCAACTAATTTTTTACCATGGAGTTGTTTTCTTGGCTTAAGAAGTTTTCAACTCCTTCATGTATGAGCATACATGCGAGGATTCCAAGAGTTTTATTGTTCTTATCTGCACTCTGGCTCCTTTGGAAAGATAGGAATGCACTCATTTTCAGGAACCATAAATCGAGACCACAAGAGCTATGTGCTTTGATTTTTAAGTAGGCAAAATATACTATGATTGCACTAAACCCCATCTCTCGAGTTACATCTAGGCAGCAAAGATGGGTAAGTTGGATTCCACAGGATGCAGGATGGTATAAACTGAATTCTGATGGGTCTTACAGTGCGACTAGAAATTCTGCTAGTGCTAGGGGCTTGATTAGAGATAATTTTGGTAGCTGGGTTTCAGGATTCATGGTTAATGTGGGGTATACCTCTATTCTCATAGCAGAACTTTGGGGTCTTAGAGAAGGGCTTCAGTTATGCCAATCCCTTGGACTTTCTCGTGTTATTACAGAAATGGACTCTCTCATATCTGTTCACCTTATCAATGGGAACCGGGAACCAGATAACTTGTCTGCAGCTATTCTATTGGAAATTAAAAACTTGATGCAGGGATTTGATGTGTGTATATTGCAGCATACTTTAAGAAAAGGTAATGGTGCAACAGACTTTTTAGCTTCCTTAGGACACTCAACTGCACCAAGATTACATATTTGGGATTCTCCACCAAGTGGATTATGGAATATCCTTGAAAGGGATCAGATGGGGGTTTGCTTCATTTGTTAGTGGTTTTCCTTGTTTTAATTATTTAACTTATTTTTGCTGTACCAAAAAGAAAAGTGTAAACAGATATAACAATTTTATAATTGTTTTATTCAAGAAAGTTAATTTTATTAATTTTTTTTTATTTAATAACTAATTAGATAATAATAC